CCCTGTCATACTTACAAATTAGGAATCTTTGAATTTAACAATGGATGGTATTTAAGCCCCCCTGCCCCCCCCCCCACCTTTTTTTTGGGAGCTGCACAAAGCCATAATGCTTTGCTGTAGTTGGAAATTAGCAGTTCTGACCTTTACATCCGCCAAATGAAATGTGCTCCATAATGAGGGTGTTAAGTGCATACAGAAACTGAATGCCTGCAGTCGATTAATTTTCATGGTAGCATAGACAAATTGCAACATATTTCAGGCAGCACACGGTTTCCATCATCCTGCATTTGAAGATGATAATTTTAGACCGGGGGGGTTCTCGTCTGGATGTTTCCCAAAATGCTTAACATAAATGAGTACTTTCACCCCTCTTTGAAAGGTAAACTTTTCCATTTCTCAATAAACACAAAAACAAGTTCCAGAATTTGATGACGATTAGTCAGCTATGGTTAAATTGTTATGAATTGGACATTTTTCCCATCTGAAATTGTAATTTGGTGTGTACGCATTTTGAAAACAGTATGGGGGAAGAAAATACATGTTTTGTGTGTGCAAAATGACAAGTCACATTTTCAATCAATGACCAACATTTATTGAGTATTTTTTAGTATACAGTAGTAGAACATACTGATACTTAAAGGACCTTCTCGGTGTCCCTAAAATTTTGTTGGGCTTGAACTCTTTATGTCAAGCACTGTACATGATGCAGTCATCTCAACGTTTGTTGTCCTCAACACCATAAGAGTGAAGAGAAAATACTCCAAAATTTTGTTTTGGGCACAGACTGAAAGTTGAATCACCCATCAGTCACTTGGCCTGGTGTTGATCTCAAACCAGTAAAGCATGACACACTTGTGTTATTGTGCCTTTTATCAATGTTGTACAAACACATTTAAAGTATAATCTCACAAATAGTCTTATTTCAAAAGTGTTAATACTGCACAATTTTTCGCCATGTGTCTCGCCCCACAACGATCCTCCCTTACATGGTGCCCACAAAAGTCACCTCCGGCCTGCAATGTGTGTGACCTTTCCCCGTCTCAAGTGGCACCCACTGATTTCGCATCTGCTTTCTCCAGCAGGGAGTGGGGGTCCCCCCCCCCCCGCCCCCACCTCGCCTATTTCCTGTAGTGAGACAAAATTCTGAACCTCAACACTGTTCTTTTGATTTAAAATGATCTTTGTATTTTAGATTTTTTTTGTGTTTTATTTTTGCTGAGAACACAACAACTTATACACATCATTTTCCAAAAATATACTACTCCTTAAAAGGAGTTTTTTTGATCTCAGGTTCCACTGGCAAAGCATCGCAAGAGATTCTTCAGATGAGGCAAAGGATTTATGTTACAAAGCAAGTAAAATGTACTGAAAAGCAAATCTGTTGTCTTGTCTTTCCTTATATTCCACTCATTTCTGCAAAATATGCAGTTGTGTCATTGGTACTTATGTTTTAATTAACAACATGGGCATTACTGACGAAATTCTCTTGACACCATGACACTTATGAAGCATTTTTCAAATCATTGTGTTACACCTGCATGTAAAAAGTACAGATAAATAGTTTAGGATCTAATGTTTGTACATGTTACATTTTGAAGCTATCTACACTGATGAGAAAAAATGAATGAAATAAGCAATACAATCAAATCATATAAAGCTGAAAGTTTTTTTTATACGAAATACCAAAGCAAAGGGTGTTCATTTAAAAGGAGAGGTACTAGTGTTGAGCAGGTTAACGATAATGAGTTGACTTCAGAGCCAATGTTATTCTGATCGGACACACACCTTTATTCATCCACCATCCATTTTCTGATCCGCTTATCCCCACAAAGGTTGCGAAGTCCTTTCTTTTAATTTAATTTTATCTTTTTGTCTCTGCCTGACCCCAATTATCTTGGAGAATACGTTGACAATGCCGTTAAGGCAGGTTTGGGCTTTGACGGCGCATTGACCCGACAGAAAAGGTTGAAAGGCTTTTCATAAAAGCCTGATCATATTGACACAGTATCACAGTGAAAAGGAGTTAAGCTTGCGCAATAAACGAATGCTGCGTCGACGGTGCTTGACCAGCGTATCTTTGCTCCAAGTCAAACTTTTAACATACAATCATTCAACACAGTACAACTGCCAAGGCATTTATACGATTCGACAAGCTCAATTTCTTAGGAATTATTTAACTCTTGTTTTGGGAGTTTCTGTCTAAAATCGCTGATTGGCTCCCTGGATTTGAGAGCCGTTAAGTCATTTACGACCCAGGCGATGTTGTCTTTACGACGCTTATACGCTCTTCGCAGTTCGTCCTTTTTTTTTAAACTGAAGATTTAGGTGAGCATTTACTACCGCAGTATGTCCTGTAGTCTATGACATTGATTATGACTGGCTGTACATTGGTTGCTTTTCCAACTTCCGACTGGTAAAGTGCATTTTTTGGTGCAGCATCTCACGTAACTTACGTTAAACCTTGGTGGTATAAACTTTTTTTGGTCATTCCAATTGACAATCTTTTGTTAACTGTTTATATTTAACACAGCAGAGACCTCCATTTGAAAAGTGACCAGAAGGTGGAGTCAAAGGCAAATGTTTTGGAGAGCATGTTTGATTGAAATGACCAGGCCTACTTTACACCCTTCACATTTCAGCAACCATTTTTTTCTCACAAGGGACTATATTGTGTAAATGAAACTTGGATATGTTTTAGTTTGTCTATAGCTTGTTGTGTGGCATGACATAAATTCACTACCGGCTGCAAATGACTGAACAGCAATAATCAGAGATGGTTTAATGTGCGGTACATTGAACCTGCAGTTGCAAGCAGCTGATGAAACTAAAGACATACATTACACTTGCATTGCATTACATGAGTATTACATCAGATACCATGACGTTCTTGCTGACAGTGTTTTTTTCCATAGCCCTATGTCTTTAAAGGGTAAAAAATTGTTATTTAATTATTTTGCCAGAGATGGGCACTTTCCCCTATTTTGCCGGTCCGTCCTCCGTCCGTGACCTTTGTATATGCACACAATGAACTCACAGGTGACACACTTCTCTTTGCTTTTGAAAGTTTCCACAGTGGCTGTTTGACATTTCTGAGGACTCCACAAGAGGGAAAGAAATTCAATCGACCGACAGGATGTACTGCAATCAGGATTTATTGAACTATCTCAGCTTTGGCATGGTCTTGGCAGGACTATGGCATCTGTACCGCCACAAGAAAATCCAAACGTGCTATGGGCGCCACATGATGCAAACTTCCCCCACCAGGTTGGTGCCAGCCCGCCTGGCCTGGTTCATCCAGGAGTTACCGGCTATTTTGATTCCTCTACTTCTGATGCTCACTTCGCACAAGCCCTACAGTGTGGGAAAGATGCTACTACTTGGAACCTTTTGCCTGCACTATTTTTACAGGTAAAGGAAAAGCAGCTGTGAGGAGGTCTGTTGGTAGATAGCAGTTGGCTTTTAACAGCGACAGCCGTGACATGACTAGATTTTATTGGCAAGACCGCGTGCATATGAGATCAGGAATGGATGGATGTCAGTGCATGAAAGAGCACAGGAATTGTATTTAATTGAACAAATGATCGTATCGTAAAATTTTGACAGATTCGTTGGTTGGCACATTCACACTAAAGAGGATAAGTGATTGAGGCCTCCATGAAAATGCATGAAAGGATGTAAGGTGTGACCCCTACTGAGCAGAAAGTCATGTTGTGTGCATATTTCGTTTGCATCTTTATAGCTAAAGGTTTAACTTGCTTTGTGAACCCTCTTTCAAACTCAGAACATTCATCTATTCATTTCTGGTCAGAGGACAACCGTACCCACTGAATGCGATGGTGGGAGCAATTTTCTTTACCTCCATAAACGGATTCTTGCAGGGATACTACCTGTTGCATTGTGCTCAGCTGAACGAGTGGAAAACTGACTGTCGCCTCAAAATCGGTGGGTGTCAAACACGAGTGAAGCATTTAGACATGTCGGCTACATTTTGTTGCATATCAAAAATGCATCCCTCATTTACACATGGCAGTACTTTATACCTGTTTTCAAATAATAATTATGAGGATTTCTTTTAGGTTTATTACTGTTTTACACTGGGATGGCAATCAATATTCACAGTGATTATTGTCTACGAAACTTGAGGAAAAGCGGGGAAGTGATTTACAAGGTCCCTAAAGGTAAGAAATAGTTTAGAACTTCGTAAACTCATGTGGTATTAGCTATGTGCGGAATCACTTTTGTTTTTAATTTTTCCTGCAGGAGGCCTCTTTGAGTATGTATCTGCTCCAAATTACTTAGGAGAGATTGTCGAGTGGTTTGGCTATGCCATGGCCACTTGGGGCTTTCCATCACTCTCGTTTGCTGTATTTACGACATGCTTCATTGGCCCAAGAGCAATTTACCATCACAGGTGACCATTACTAAAACCTTAGCAGTGCGGACAAACTATACCACACACCAACTGAGTGCCACACTGACTCATTTGCTGTTTTTGTTTTTCCCACTTAGGTTTTACAACAAGAAATTCAAGTCGTACTCCAAGTCTCGAAAGGCTCTGATTCCATTTTTACTTTGAAAAAAAACATCCCGTTGTGATCCAAGTCAATGGAGAGAGGCCCGCATAATTGAAAGAAACTATTAATTTGCTACTTACGTTTTGTTTATGTGCAAAAACACATTGGCTTATCAAGACCGTTTAGTTGGCAGTCAGGGCTGAGTACATTTATTGTAGTTCCTTAGAACAAGCTCTGAAAACACTTCAAAATGTCCAAGCCACTCAGAAAAGTAAATTGTAACAGGACTTCCTCTGGGTGGACTGTTTGGGGACATGCAGGGACAGTGCCTCAGGCAAGGGCTCGGGCAAAAAAATGGCTTGTATGTTATTCTTAGGAAATCTGAGGTTGCTTTTAATGAGATGTAAAATGATGGTTCGTTAAAAAAAAAAATCCTTATGTACTTTGATTGGTTTGAATTAAAACAAAGGGAGAAGCACACTTGTGTTGTGCTGTATTAGGCTCATCCATTCCTTTTATTCCATCATTTCTTCTTGTCACAATCCACTCTTAACATTTTAATTTAATTCACATCTTGTATTGTATATCGTATATCGAGGACGACATTTACAGTTTCAATAGCAACTTGTAGAGCATTGAGTTTCGCTGTGAAAGAGTCAAGCACATCCGCATGCACAGTAACATCTGGAGACAAGGATGCAGGTGAGAATACGGGATATTTAGTGTTCAGGTGACACCACTTCTTCGTCTGGCTCATCTTTATTAGCCCGCAGCCACACTTTCTCTCACAACTCTCCATGTCCTCTTGTGTCACATCTTTTGGAAGGGTCCAGTGGTGAGCGCAAGTCAGATCAATGAGAGAATCTTCACTGTCGTGCTGTAGGGCTGCAGCCACTGACTCAAGAGAGCTACAGAAAGCCTCCACACCAAGAAGGTACTCTGTTTGCAGGCAGCCAAACACTGATGCACTTCCGGCGGCGTCACACTATGATTAAAACAGGACAATTAAGTGGAGGAAATAGTGATAGCAAATAAGACAAAAAGAATTGCTCTTACTTGGTGTCTGATGTAAGCAGCTAAGTGGGTCTCAGTGCACCCGCCTCCAAGTAAAGCAAACGGTTCCCTTAGGGTAAGTCGTAACACGTGTTCTGTCTTTTGGCATGCCACCTTTCATGGCCACATAGACACAAGTAAACAACATACAGTACTGCGTATCCACCTTTAACGGGTGTGCGTGTGTGTGTTTTTCTAATCGTACCTTCAATTCATTTAATATAGTCTCATTTCTGTGGCATAGGACTGTGGTACAAATGACGGACTCCTCAGCAGGATATAAATGTAGCATACTTTTGGATCCAAACTGTCTTAAGGTGACATTCCCCACCTGTCCATAGGCCTTGTGAGGGATCGTAGAGTGTAATGTTGCCAAAGGCTGAGCCCCTATGGAGGAAGACAAAAAAGTATAATGAATGAAGGCGCGCAGACTCAGTACAGCTCGCAGGTACAATTCACATTAAGCTCCAGGAATGTGATGATTTACATGTTAGATATTTAACCCAAATTCAGAGATTACCATAAAGGATTCTTGATGCATTTACAGCAATATTTTTGTGCAATATTTGAGGGAAATAAATTAAAAACAAGTCATGGATTTTATGTACAAAACATGATGTCACAAGTTGTGGCTACCTGTGAGTTGAACGAGAGGCTGCATGAGATTAATCCCCACTCTCTCCACAACTATCACGCCATGACTCCTCAGGAATTGCTGCAGAACTGGATGGATAACCTTCTGGCAAACACATATCTTGACGTTATCTTTGAATACCTGTTTGCCAATCTCGAGGAGTTGATCCAAGATCTGAGAGTCCATGTCAGTGCCGTATTGGACCTCAATCGGTCCATCTCCTATTTCAGAAAGATGACCGGCAAGGGATGTACTGAATAATACCACACGTAGTGGACTGCAGGGTTGATTCCTTGGCTCCAAGTCCTCAAAACCAACTGGAACGTCAACTAATAATCCTGGAAACACCTTAGATTCCATAACAGGAAGACCCTCAATAGGCACAATTACCGTCATGCCCAGAGTTACTACACCGTTGCTGTTGGACGGCACAGTCAGTAAAAAGGCTTCTACAGCCAATTTGCTGATGTGAAGTGTTTCATACTCTCTTAGCATAGTGGCTGGTTTGCTGCAGAGAATATTTCTAACCAACTTGATTAAGTTGTGGCTACTGCTAAAGTCGAGCTTGACTTTACAACCACATTCTTTGTCTTCAAGGTAAGTGGTGCAAAGACCCAACAGGTGTTTATTTATCCTGATAGCCTCGTTTTGTCTTAGACCAGACTGCTTGACTTTTTCAATGAGAGTAACACAAAGAATAGCTGCAAACAACCCGCAGTCACCCAAACGAGAAACATGATTGCGAATTGAGGCTAAAATTAGATTTAGAAACGGTGTCGATGAATAAATGGCTGGAAGTAGTACTGATGACGTTGAGGTGGTCACAACTTGCCCTCCGATATTGTTGTGAATGTGTTTAAGTCTACCCGATGGACCAAAACAAGACCTGAGAAGCTGACCCAAAAGATGAAGTTTGTTTAAAATGTCACTGTTTTCCAATGGTAGATCCGTGCAAAGCGCTGGTGATTTCCCAACGAGTCGAGACATCTCATTTCCGAAATGTTCACTTGAACACCAAATTAGCTATGTTAGCGCGGATGAACTAGTTGACGTGAGTCTGAGGAGTTTAAAAACAGCGTTACAAGCTACGGTTTTGCCTGATTATAATTAAAGCTTCATCCGAAAAACGTGATTTATGCCCCGTAAATAATATATATATATATATATATATATATATATTTTTTTTTAATTATGTTTTTGTATTGAATCTAATTGAAATGTGATCATACTTGAACTAGCATTAATCAAGTAACCTGTTTGTTTAATCCAATGTAATACAGGCTTCTACACTGAATACTTGTTTCCATAGCAGTGGCCAAAAGCTTTGGGTCCTGCTGGGCCTACTTGTACAGCGGTCGCATAAATAAAAATGTTTCGAAAATGCTATAGTTACAATGGATTCCTGTGTGAAATTCGAGCGATAGCAAATACATTAAGAAAATATCGACGTGCGTGCTTTTCATTGTTTTAACAGCGAGTACGTTTACACTGGTTGTAGTCGCAAGATTACACGTAGTGTGACGTCATCCTCAGCAGACAAACGACTGCACAGAAATTCAAAACTATTAGCGGTAGGAAATGTCGAGTCATATTTTACCGTAGTTGCATGCCTTTGCAAGTGGATGGTTTACGCGTGGTATTTGCAGGGCCAGTATGAAAGGGATGACATCTGTTTACAGGATGCATGTTAAATGGTAAAATTCGTAGTACAAGGGCTAATCCAGCACTGTATACTTTCAGGCGAAAACTACTGGACGATAACTGCAATGGCACCTCACAAATTTGTCATTAAGGTACGTGGAAACAATGATATGCTGTATAAAGCGTTGTAATACACGGTAGGAAGTTTGCAGGATCTCTCTGTGTTTGCCTGGCTTTGCTCCAGGTAATCCGGCTTCTTCTCTCACGGGGATAGCGCTAAACCGGTGCTATAACGCAGTCAAAAATCTGTATAGGACCAGTTCAACTCCCAACAACACGCTGTCAAAGTCCGGGCCTTGAGCGGGTATACTGCATGTTTTCGATATTTCCTTCTTCCAACACATTCAATGATCCACTCATCAGCAAAGCTCTGCAGGGGCCTGGTGACGACCCCGATCATTTGAATGTGGTGTGTTGGAAGAAGGAAAAATCTGAAACACGCAGGATACGGCCGATCGAATACCGGACTTTGACACTTGTGTCCTCCAGCATTTTATTTGATATTGTGTATTTAGAAACTATTTTTCTCAGCCCCCATATGTATTGGTCAGCCCCCCCGCCCCCATTTACCCCGATAGAGAAAAAAATCATAGAGCCTCTTCTCACATTCCAAAAAACATGCACGTGAAGTTAATTGAAACATTAGAGTTTTTATAAATATGACTGTCAATGGTTGTTTGTCTTTATGTGCAGGTTATCCCCGTCTCTTACCCATAAAAGTCAGCTGGGATCGGCTCAAACTGCTCTCCCGTGACCCTAATGAGGACAAGTGGTATAAAAAAAATGGATGGGTTAGATGCTCATGATTTTGGTTGTTATAGTTTGCTGTCCTATACAGAACACCAGAAACAGAAGCAGAATTTTCTCTTACATCATGTTACCAAAGAAGTGAAATTGGCTGCTTGGAAGTCATTGCATTCACTGTCAGATTGTAGCGGCTGAAATTAGAGATTTCTCCACATATAATCCTCAACCACTTAAAAACTTTCCATCCATTTTATATTCCACTAATACTGTTGAGGGTCACGGGTAAAATGGAAGCAATGCCATCTGACTTTGAAAGTTCAGCCAATTTCTGATCACATATAGTCAAACAACCATTTAAATGTATGGACAGTTTAGAGAAGAGAATAACTCAAATTAACATGCATGTTTCTGCAAAGTGGGAGGAAGCTGGAATACCTGGAGAAAACTCACGCAAGCATGCAGAAAACCTGCAAACTCCACACAGGAAGGCTTGAGCCGAGATGTGAACTGAGAACCTCAGAACCATAAAGCTAGTCATTATTTCCATGGGCAAAATATATCTCAACTAATATGCACAGGGGGTGGTAATGATTCAAAATGACTTCAAAGTTTGCTTCACTGCTATTTCCAGCATGCAGCACACGTTTCTAAGCTTTGCTTTGTGAAACCACAAAAATATCTGTTGTGTCTCTACAGTTGAGTTGAGTTGAGAGTTGAGTCTCTGGGGAAAATATTTTTCTGAAGATATATGTTTCATTAAGATGATTTTATGATGTCAGAGGAACAATCTGTTGCCACTAGAGGGAAGTAGTGCAACATGGTTAAACGCTTTTGGTCAACTCTGGTGCAAATGTCAACGATGGATTACCTCCCCCTGGATCTTTGTTGTAGTGAGAATGTCAACACATGCAAAGCAGGAAACGCCTTGTATTAAAAAATCAAGAGTTGTTTATCCTCAGTCTGATTCTCTGTCAGCAATAATGCACCTCAGATGATTTTAAGTGCAGGCAAAGCTGATGATCTCGTTTTTGTTGACGTTTCATTTATTGAGAGTTTTGAACAAGGGCTTCAGACATTTTGCACTGATCTCCACATCCGCCACTATTCCATGTGTGCCCTGCTGACCAGATATTGCATTCACTCCCCTTTATTTGTTTCATATGCATGCCTGCATAAAGGCCACCTCACCACCCCCCACCATCACTTGGTTGTGGGAGAGTAAAACGCTAGAGGTTCACGGCGGATTCCTTCCCACTGGGCACATAATGATACAGTTGTGTTATTCTGCCTGAGAAACTGCTCAGAGGCTCAACCACACTCGACCAACGAACCACAAACAAGCATGTAAGAAGAGATCAGGCTAAACAATAGCATTCAAGGCACTGCAACTGGCTTCTCTTTCACAGAGCTAACACCACTGTCACCGGGGGTTTTAATGAATGGATCAGCTTCTCGGACACCATTTTCCACTGAAACATTATATTTAGGAATGCATGTAAGTCAGTTTGCCCTTTGTAGTGAAAGCATTTATGCATCATGTTCTCTGGTTCACAGTTCCATGTTTACTAGGCTGGTCACTAGTAAGCTTGATGATCCTCGCTTTATTCAGTCTGCAGAACTGAAGGGGGTGCACTTTCCTTATAGGCCTAGACTGTGTAGTCACCCGCCACTTCATAGACCTCCCGAAAAGGGCCTGCAGGCAAAAACACGGATCCACTGGAGTGCTGACTGCCAGGACATTACCACTCTAGAACCCTACAATCTGCCTTTTATTAGCAAAATGCACCGGCGACTTCTAAACATCTAATGTCGAAAGCGGCGGCAGAAACCCAGCTGTTTTTTTAGTCGAAAACGTTTGAGGCACCGCAGAACATTTTCATGTCAGAGGTTTATGCACTGTTTAGTGTTGTTGTCACTCTGTAGATGAGCCCATGTGGGACCACACATCATGTCTCTGTGCACTCTCAGAGCAAACATTTTGACATTTGCCAACATAGCAAATCCCTCTTAAGTTACCTAAGGAGGTGACATGGGCAATAAGAGAAAAAAAAATCTAGCACTGATTAATAGCGTACTTAATTTACTTTCCAAAATGAAACCAAACACCTCCCAGCCAGCAATCACCAATTTCTGGAGGCAGCGTCTACCCTAGTTTTGTTTGGTGTATGTTTCCTGGAGATATTCCTGTCTGTTCTTGCTGTTTGAATTCCACTCCTGGGTTGTGTCTCTTTTTTTATGATCAAAAAAGAGGACTCAGGTGTGCTAACATTCACCTGCATGAAGGGTGCTTTGCACACAAATCACTTACATGCATACGCATGCATGCAACATACACACACTCGCATTCTTCCCTCAATAATAATAATACCTTCTTGAGCCTCACCACTGAGTGTCTAGCAGTTTGAAATATCGGAGTGGTAACCTTTATTTATTTTGAGGGGAAACCCAGGTGACTCACAGAGAGAGTTAAGAATGAGTCAAATAAAACCTTCGGAAAAGATGTCACACCCACCGATCCATTGCACTCCCCTGGATTGTTTGCAGACTGCAGAAAGAGAAAGTCCGAAAAAGGGAGAAATGCAAGTTTTACTGAATGAGACCGCATCTGCTGCCCTTTCTCATCTAATGTAAACATCTGTGGCTGGTTAGTGTTAGCCTCTGAGCTAAGTGCAGTCTGAGAAGGTCTGGCTCTTATATGTTGCGATAGCAAAGGCAAAGGGCAGCGGGGCGGGGAGGCGGGTGAAGTTGCTCGCCGTGTTCGGGCCCTGTGCCCATCTCAGAGCAGCAACAACCGACAGGCAGGTCTGGAAGGGAGATAAGGAAAGGTAGAGAGTGTTTTTGGAACTGAAAGTGATATAGACCAGAGCACTGGAGAACAGAAGGGAACTATCAGCGTGTTCGTGACAGGAATTGTTTATTTACGGGCTGAAAATATAATGGCGGTGTTTTGATTCTTGTTTAGCCTGCGGTGGGTAGTGGTGATCTTATGTTTGAGATATTTCTGTTGTCGGGCCATGGTTACAAGTTTGGCAGCGGGAAGAATCAGGACAGTTTTAGCTTTGCCTTCTGAAAGACACACTCCTATTCATGCACATTGTGTCAGCGCACAAAAGATGGTGCAACAAAGGATTTGGTATTTTCTAGTGGGGTGGTTTTTTTTTTTTGCCTCTTGTCATTCAGCCTTCATCTTACGTCCATGGTGCTAAAAAAGCCTATGAAAGACCGAGAACAAAGCATCGCATGAAAAAAGTAACTTCCTTTCGAACTTGGACCGTTATCAAAGCTTTCCTTCCAACAAGTGAAACTATCTCACAGACAATTACAATTGAAATTGTTAACTGCACAAAAAATAGTTAATGGATTTGATTAATGAATATGTCTGGCTCTTTAAACGCTCTCAGGCCAAGGCCTCTGATGGTTTCAAAGAATGGCATGTGCAGCAATAATTGCTGAGACGGTGCCTTTAGAAGTTCACGCATTCAACGAGTATATGGAAATATCTTGGCCTCTTTCCGGTCCTTGTGCGCCTTTACTCAAGCCTCATTCTGCTTGTGGATATCTCATGAAAAAAAGGGGGTCACAAGTGGAGGTCAGAGTTCATGGCAGAGTTCACCTCAGATCCGCTCGTCATTCTTTGTGCAAGCAGATGTCAACTTTAGACCGCATGATGGAAATGTAATGGAAGTTGTACACTTTTTGTAAAATGAGATTCCGTCACTTGCGCCCCTCTTCATTCTGTCACACAAATCTGCCACACCAATGTTCTTTTGTTAAATCTCAACGTGCTCCTTTTAACGATGTCACTGAAAGGGGAATTCTGTGCCTCCACCGACCAAGCTTTGCTTGGTAAATTAATAGTGTTCTCATTAGTGTGATTGCGTTAGTTTACATTCCAGTCTCCCCCCAGTCTCCGTGAAGAAATCACATGCTGTTTTGGAGTGAAGGGTAGACTGATGCTTATCATGAATGCCTTATTTCCATCAGGTCTTGTCTGCGCCTCTGATGCGATAAAAAAGTTCGTCCAAGACACGTTTGCTACTGTAGTTGTCTGGCTGTTTGCCCAAGTAAAAGATTCTAACAGAAGCTGAGGAATTACTTCGGGGGATTCACCCAGCAATGCCTCTACAAAGACGTTTTCATGAAACTCTACTGCTCCCACTAAGATATTGATTAAATTAACCTTGTGTTCTCCTTTTGAGCTCACATTAGCTTGTTTAAGTTGAAGCCATTAGATAGATCTTGTGATCCCTGCTAGGCTATACGGACAGCATCTTGTGTCAGTGAGTCAACCAACACAGATGTTTAGCATTCAGTACACTGCTACAACAGTCTCGAAAGTGTATGTGTGCGTGTGTTTTGTTTTTTTGTATCTACTTCTTGTGGGAAGGTCTGAAATGTGAAAGGTTAGATACCCAAACCAGCTGGGCTAATGTCAAAAATGCAGCTCAAAAAGTCACCGTGGCACCCCCCCGTGTCTTTCTGTCAGTTTTGATGGACAAGGCCTGACCCTCTGTTGCTAGGTTTTCCCACGCACTCGTAATTGTTGGAGGCAGTCAGCTGAGACCACCAGTCAACCGTGCACTGCTGAGAGACAAAGAGCAAGGGGGTGGAAAGAATACTGATATGTCGAGAAGGACTGACACCGATAGGCAGCGTGCACAGATTTAAACAGTGGATTTTAACGCATCCCTGTGACTCGTTGACGAGCAGTCCAGTCCATATGTTAAGTGGAATCAAAAAATGGATGAAAATCCAGCATAATATGAACTGATGCGATACTTTCGCATCTGGTCTTCCTTGTTCCAGTACTCTGTTTTGTAACAGCCGACAAGCACTTTTTGCTCAAAGAGTACAGCATTGGGTGTTTTGCAGTTTGTCAGGTCCCATTTCCTCTTTTTTGAGCATGAGGATTTATTTTGAACTGATATTTTCCAAAGAGAAATGGGAGCAATGTGCTGAATCACATCGTCAAACTCTCCCATGAAGACTGAATTAATCGAGGCTGGGTTTATTTCAAATTATACCGAATGCGGGTGTGCATTTGGAAATACTTGTGATTGGTCATGCAGTTTGCCGGTAAGCCTCGCTCAATTTGGGAAGAACAAAAAAAAAAATGATATTTGATCATAAATTTGCCCAAATCTGTGGACAAATACATATGCTGGGCTGGTTGGTCTCTATCATCATACCTGCACCTGCTTTTTGAGCATTACTTTATGCTGACTACTGGGCAGGCCAGTCTCGTAATTGCCTAGTAATCTACTACCATGCCACTATGATTTACCGTAGAATTCATTATTCTCTGCAGAAGTACACTCTGAGACCAAACAATTTACAATGTAAACACTATCATTGAGGCATTAAACGATCGGGACCTTGAAAAAACAGCAGCCACATGTTTACTCTTGACACTGTATTGAGTTTAACAAGACAAACCGAGGGGTTGGTGTAGGCTTGTGTCCAAAATTAGGACCTTACCCCATTCATTTCTACACTCACGTCATTCTGAGTACAAGGCCTTGGGAACATCCCTCAGGGCTGGGTTGTTGAGTTCAGTCATTTAGTGTGCAACTTCGGCCGATGGGGATTGGCCCGGCTCAAAACAGAGCTTTGAGTGTACCATTTTATTCAATGTACACAGCAGTTTCCTGCTCGACACAAGCCTGAAGTGTTTTTTTTTCCTTCTGCAAATTGTTTGTTCACCCCCCCACAGCTTGCTGCATTTTCGTGCATCATAGTTAAAGGACGGTACTTGTTGCTTCTTTGTCTTACGTTCTAGGTGGTCTCAGTCCTTGGCTGGTTTGCCCAAGGAGAGGCGAGGTTCACACGAGACCCATAGTCAGTTGCTTTCTTTTGCACTCATGTGTAAATCATAATCAGGGCAGCTCGGGAAAGATGTAACAGCGAGTTAACTAGCCGCGTCGGTTCTGGCCTCCCTGTCACTTATGTAGCTTATTGTCGTTGACACGATGCTGTAGAGTTTCTGGAATCTACTCTGCAGCTATGTTCTTAGCCCTCATGAGCCCTGAGAGGTGCAATATAAATAGTCCTTTAAGACAGTGTTTTCCAACCATTATTGCGCCAAAGCACCTGTTTTATATAAGAAAAATCCCATGGCACACCACTGAACAAACATACTGAAATAAGGCTCACATCCGTTTAGTCCCAAAATGACTTATGTAGTGTGAAATCTGGGCCTGTTTAACAGATCACAAAGCTTACGTACTCACAGGAAGCCATGACTTAGTCTGTTTTTTGAAAGGTAACAGGTGGATACACTGGTTTATTGTACCCTCTGCCATCTAATGGGAAAAAAATGAATGGCTCTCTGCCTTTCACTATACATTGCTCGCATAGATTAATAAACAAAGATATCTTTGTAATTAGTAAACAATTATTATTTTTTTTTTTTAAATAAAATTAGGTCATTTCTCACAGCACACCAGGTGATCTCTTATGGCACTTGGGTGCCCCCTGGTCAGGAATCACTGCGTTCATGGTGCTCCATGAAGCTTCAGCAGCACTATCTTTAGATTTGGTTAATTACACATTTATAGGGGGCATATTAGGATTTGTTTCCAGCATGGCTGCCTTTGATAGTGTGTGTTCTGAAGTGAAAAGCTTTGCAGAGTTCTAAAACCGGAACCCATCATTTCATGCTTTCGGAGACAAAACGTAAGGCCGTAGACCAGGGGTGTCAAACTTACGGCCCGCGGGCCGGAACCGGCCCGCAAAGGACTTTAATTCGGCCCGCGAGATGATTATGTAAAGCAGTGGTGTCAAACATACGGTCCGCGGGCCGTTCAATCAGGCCCCACAGGATAATTTAAAAGTGAAGAAAATGCATAAAAGACACAGAATAAATATTTTTAATAAGGTGCAATTCATTGAGTATCCGCTAGGGGACACTGTTTTGATCAGAGAAGAAGACAACAGCAGCCTCAGTCCATCACTGAGACAGACCCATGACAGCAGACGCTATCAATAGCACTCTCACATTTACACATTTAATAGCACGCTCCTTAGTTTGTAAGGTGTAGGCAGGGATTACATTTAGATCTTATATGCACGTGTAAATGGTTTAAAACTTCCTTTCTTTATAAATCTCGTTTAATCTTAAAGTGCATTACTATATTTTTCAAAACCAATTACTTGTTAAAGTTTGTACAATCAGTGGGATCAGTTGCAATGCATATATGTGAATGATAAAAGTAAATTGCACATTTGTCGAAGGAAATGTAAGGTGCTTCATGAAATGTTTTGTAAAAGATATGTTCATTTAATTTCAACATTTTCCTAATGTTCTTGTGCTTCTTTATACCAAAACAAAGGAAAGACATATTGTTTTGGTTATTTATAGCAAAGTATGGTATCATTTTAATGGTCCGGCCCACTTGACATCTACCCAGGCCGTATGTGGCCCACCATGTGAAATGAGTTTGACACCCCTGCCGTAGACGGTGCCATAATTTATGTTGAGATGTCGGATAAGGAATCTGAAAGGGCTCGGGTGATGTTCAAATACATAGAGCAGTGATTCCTAACCTTTATTGACCCAACGCACATATTTTAAGTTAAAAAAAATCACGCGGCACACCACCAAAGAAAATTGTCACGAAAAGAGGATTCAGATGTCAATTTCATACTTTTTGCCATCTAAGAGAAGATCATTTATTTGTTCTTTCTGTCCCTATAAGTTGATGACATAGATAGAGGGACAAAGATACATTCTTTGTAATTAATAAATTATTTTCTCTCCAATGAAGTAGAAAGGGTTCTGTCAGTTGTCATCTGTACCTGTGGGTAAAAAACAAAAAACAAAAAAGGACGTTTCGCTTCTCTCACAGAAGCTTCGTCAGCGGTAGACAACCCTGAAGTCTCCGTGAAAAGCATCTCCAATGAAGTAAAATCTGATAATTTCCCGCGGCACACCATTGGAGCTCTCTCGGCACACTAAGGTGCCCCGGCACACTGGTTGGGAATCACTGACATAGGGGGTCGTTTGTGGTTTCTTTCGCTGTCAGTCACTCGCGCTCTGATTTCCTTTGTTGTCTCTGAGCTCAATGGCCTGCCGGCAACCTGTGGCTGTCCTTCCTCTTTGTGTTACAGTGTGGGAACTTTGCTGTGCTGGTGGATCTTCACGTTCTGCCCCTGGGCAGTCAAGAGGACGCCAGCTGGTTTACTACAAGCCACATTGAGGTAGGGACACAATGAGAAGAGTGTGCGTGCGATTAAATGTGTGAGTGAATATATAGCTTCTGTACTGCTTTGTGGCTTTAAAAAAAAACACTAGCGTGGAATGTGAAATGACTGAGGTCTTTGAATCTATTCTTCTTGTGGGTGAGGGGGTTTTATTGTTCAGCACCTAGTTTCTTCCAAACCTTGAGTAGTCCAGTAGCATGTTGCTAAATCTAATGAAATATCCTTGTTTTGTAGGAAGTTACAACTCTGATTCGTGATGCTGTGGCTCAAAGAGTCGAGCGGTACTCCGAGTCCTTTCTAAAAGGAAGACAGCCAAAGAACAAAAAGGAGCTAGCACCTGCTACGGCTTTTACCGTGAAAGGTACTGCTAATCATTTTATAATCCACATTTCGATGGTCTGTTGTCACATATTTGACATTATGGATTATTTTAGCCTTTTGTGTTCATTATGACAGCGGTCCCCAACATTTTTTTGCAACACAAACAAGATTTATGAGCCATTTTAAATGTAAAACACCAAACACCCCCCCACCAAAAAACAAAACAAAAAAAAACAACCCCCCCCCCCCCCAACTGATTATAGAATTTACCATTACACTAAATGTCGTTGTTGTAATTAGTGGGGTCCTGTGCTTTTTTCTCAAGAACAACCTGGTCCCATCTTGGATTTTTATTAAAAAAAAAACCTCCAAATGCTTGAACTTTAATGTCAGTGTTATGGAAAATTTTGAACCGTCAGAATTAGTGACGCCAAGGGGTGATGTCGCCCAAGGCGTGTGTTTGAGACTTTGACAGCGTATGAGAAGGACACTTCCATTAACAGTGTAAACATGGTTTCGTCAGAATTTGTGACCCCAACGGGCCATATTATTTGAGCTGTTATTAAGTCTGCTCTCAGTCTTACAGCGCTTGCTCTCCTCTCAAATTTGCACACTTTTGCATAGTTTCCCCACTTTTATGTTTAAGATCTTCAAACAAATATAAATATCAACTTGAGATAAAGATAAGCTAGGTAAATATAAAATACCCTTTAAAAATCAAACTGTCCGAGAACTCAAATGTTTGGGGACGGCAGTAGCTTATATGTAAGGAAGAGTCATGGTTAAAGTTCCTGTGCAGACCAAACTAGATGTTGCAAGAGGCTCGTGTGCCTCCAGACTAATGTTGAATTTGCCTTTGAGCAAGGTTTTGTGCCTCAACGGCACCCTCTAGCTCAAGAGATGCAGCACTCTTGGCGCACTCCTTGCATGCGTGTATGTGTGTGAACTGATTCTGTGCGCTGTGCAGCGCAAATATACAGCGGAGCCCAAATTTAATTTTCTTAGACACAAGCATAACCACAGCCATGGCCACAACCAAATCCAACGGACACTGCTTATGAGTTGAAGTGTTGCAGTATATCCTTCCCCTGGGTAAGGTGTGAACAGACGCGGTTTTAGGTTACTGAAACTATGAGTCTTCTTCACAGAAATTTCGAATGATGACGACCACAGGCCCTGCAAAACAACAGCCACAAACAAACACACTCCGTTTTGTGAACAAGGGTACTACCAACGTGCCAGCAGTGAAATATGCATGTCAAAATGACTAAGCTTCTTGAAGTTATGCCAGAAAGTATGTAAGCAGTGGAACATTACTCAATACAAACACTATCTGCTTGTTCCCCTCCTCAGAACATTAAAAAAAAAAGGTCTCGCCACTCAAATGTATTTCCTATGCTCTTGTCCCACTAAATGAGAGTAATGACATTTTTGGCGCTTGTGAGAGAGGTGGCTGACCAGTAAAGGTAGAGACTGAGAAGTGAGCAGGCTGGCATGAGCCATAAGGAGGGCAGGACAGACTATAGGCCGAGCCAATCTCACCCCAGGGTAGGTTTTAAGTATTGGGGTCATCTCCTCTGCAGACAGGTGAAATGCAAGCCTGCAAATCCTCTCACAGAGGTCCTTCCAGGTTGTCTGTTGGAAGCAGTGGAAGCTGGTTTTCTACATTCATCTTTTTCAGCACAGAAACCAATTATATCAAATTTATTTGTGAGCACAGTTGCTAGAATGACATACTAGAAGAGGTGCATGTACATTGTTAAATATAGAAAAAGTGTCAGGTGGAAATTACACTGTCTGCCAACAATAGGCCGATGGAGGTTGGCATTAAGGAGGGGGATTGTTGTTCTTGTAGCATTTGAGCTAATGCCAGCTATAAGGGCTGTGTAACAACTTCAGCTGTTGGCACTTCAAATAAGCCATCAGCAGCTTTTAAAATTCCAAGGACCTCCAGTGCAAATGTTTCTGAGTTCATGATATTTGAAGGTAGATGACACGCTAAGAGTAAAAGAGCTGCATAAAATCAGTTTGAAAGTCGTCCATAGGAAAAACACAAAAACAACAACAAAAAAAAAACCAAAAGGAAACATTTTAAAGCACCCAAGCAAAGATTTATCTACATTTTCTGTGGAACTTTATGAAATGGAACAATTTTCTTTCGGAGGAATCGCCCCCTTTGATAATTGTATTGAATGAGGTCCAAAACAGTGATCTCCATCTTAGGTTAAGATCTTGTTATGACTAAATATTAGTCTTATACCCATCTGAACAATAAAGTGACCTCCATTTATCATACTGCTGGGATTTTATTTTTTCCTTAGACTTGACTCTTTCTGAATATGTAGCTAAACTGTAACAGATAATAGCCTGTCCATGTATTCAGAGAACATTACAGCTCTTTTTCTTTTTTTTTTTACTCAGGCTACTTGACTCCATGATTAGCGCATAGTGATGTGATTTATTTATGTTTTAAGAGGGATGAACAGAGGGAACTTTTCCCACCAAAAAACTTGGCTCAGTACAAGAAGAGTGAACAAGCAAGACTTTTCGAAGGCGAGAAAAATTAGATCTTGGGAGAGGCTGGCTATCTCCTTGATGCACTATACAAAAATGTGTCTAAGTATTTGCATATTAAAAATGAATGAATAATAGGGTTTCTGTAACGTGAACATTACAGTCCTGTTATCTGATATGATACTGTATCTAAGGAAGCGAGTTACTGATTATTTACTATGATGGTAAGAGTTTCATTGCCATCCTCAGGTAGATGCTGCACTGCCAACCAAGGCTGTACGATGTTAGGAAAAGAATGAGTTGCAATATGCCCGAAAATGACTTCACAGTGTCAGAATATTAAAGGGCAGCTCCGACGGCCCATTTCGAGGTATTGATGGGGAAAAGGAGCAGTATTGTCAAGTTTGATAAATATCTGATGCTCCCATCTTTGTGTCAAGTCGAGGCAAACTTCTGAATATCTGCCAAATATGTTCACAGAACGTCCTGTACCCAAGTTATGTAGCAGCCGCCTTTCTGCAATCAATTTACGGTCTGGATTAACAGGTTTACGCACACAGCTTCAATATCAGGCTTCCGCAGAGCTTGCTGATGATCTGATCATTTGAATCATGTGCATTGCAACAGGGGGGATGGAAAACATGCAGGATCGCAGCCTTCCGGGACTGGAATTGCCCACCCCTGCTTTAACCCTTTCAAAGACAGCGGTTACTCCAGTGGACAGCTTATCATGTTATCAGGTTACAGGGTGCATGAAAGCGTGAATGCAACCAACACGTTTCGATTCAATTTGTTGTCTGGAATCGCAATTTCAACCAAAAAATGATAAATCGTTCAACCTTAATACTAAGTTCATTTACGCATCTTAACAAAGTTGATGCCATGTATTGCTTTCGAAAGGCCCACTCTACACATACTTAGCAAATCCAACTACCAACCGCAGAACCAGATGTCTTTCATCTCCTACTCTATATTGAATGACGTCGCAAAGGTGATCTTTCACCGTAAGGCCTCTTTGTACGTGTAACCTCAAGGTTGAGAAGTGTCTTTACCAGTGTTGGTGTAGGTGTGACAATAACATTTGGTGGTACTCAGAGTTCATTTCAGCCCATGGCAGAGCTGGGTACTTCTTCCTCTTCCTGCACAGGTGCCAGGGCTTAGAGGGGAGGGAACACCTGCCAGTCTCTTTCCCCATGGTCACTACATGCTGGAAAGGCATTTTCCCAGGCTCCCCAGATGAATGGTCACTAATAGCCGTGGGAGAGGGCTTTGCGAGTGCTGCACAGTGTACGACTGACTCCTCTTGGCAGCTCTGTGAAGGGGGCTTAAGGCAGCCTGACCATGGTCATTGTAGGAAAAGCACAAGTGTTGTTAGATTTCTTTACTCTTGGAAAATGTGTTACCAATGACCATTTCGGTCACAGTGACGACAGAGGATTTGTTGTTGTTCTTTGTAACCCCCCCCCCCCAAAAAAAAGAAACCCCAAACATATCTTACATTGCATTTCAGGGCCAACATATCCCGTTTTCTATCCCTGAAACAAACACAGCAAATTGTTCAATAACCCCACATTCTTTCTTTGTTGGTCTGTTTTCAAAGGGAAAAGACTCAACTCTTCCAACTGTTTTCTTCTTTGTTTCTGCCTTAGCCACCACAACTCTTTTCTATTTATGTGAGTGGCTGTAATATGAGGGATTTGTCTGTAAACAGAGAGTCACGCCAGTAGCAGATTTACCTGCTCTGGTCTATGTTACTGGGTGCATGGCAGTCTGGGATTAAGGCAAGGGTGAAACAGAGACCTGTGACTGGAACAAAGGAATTCCAAGGCCCAGGCTCAAAATGGACCTTGATCGGCGTCGGCGCTGCAGCGAGTGTTCCCTTGTTCCTGCTCACCCTCCTGTCTCTGGCCCCTGCTGGGCAACCCCCTTCTTCACAGGACTATGTGGTGTTGATGTGACTCTCAAAAGCTGGCCTGTATGCGCCTTGTCTTTCGAATAGAACAGTCTGACTCCACTGTTGACCACTCCTCAATGAATATTCACACGCACCATTCACTTTTTTTTTTTTTTTTTTTGCCACTTGCACTTTTTGGGCATAGCCTCTTCTAGTGACTGTTATCTTTCCAAGTTCCTCTCATTACCTTACTTGAGGTTTTCTCACTTTTTCTTCTCAACCTCGTCCACGGGGTCAGCTGCAGTTTCTTCGCACATAACCACAATCCCTGCCGTAGCTGTCACACTACACTCTTTTCCCATATAATTAGGGCCTGAGCCTTAGCACGAATCACATTCATGTGACCGTTCACCACAACGTATCTGGGAGTACTGCACACACGCTGAAGTGTTTTCTTGTTTTCTTTTTCTGTCCGTTACTTTAGGTCTGGGAAAAAAAAAATCCCTTTGTCATGTGCTCCCTGCAGCCTTGTGACTTTGCTTGTGGACAGGTGTCACTTCAGGGCAATGCACTAAATTGGTCCTGCGTTCTAAAGTAAGGAAATGGCAAGGCAATATAGAAGCTACTCATAG